ATATAAATCAATTTGTTACAAAGTTTTTAGATTTAATATAATAGTATTTTAGTAAAAATTACCTTTTAAATTGTTCCGAAAAAAGTAATGATTCTAGAAAAAAATATATAAAATATTGCACACACACATATATATATATATATATATAGATATATATATATACATATATATATATATTATATATATATATAAATATATATATATAGTATATATATATATATATATATACTATATATATATATATATATATATTATATATATTATATATATATATATATTATATATATATATATATATATATATGTATATATATATAACGTCGCATTTACATAGAATTTTATTGAAGTAAGAAACCGTAAAACACTAATTAACAAATACTTTTAAACAATAGTTAACAATACTAAGCTCTAGTGGCAGTTACAAAATTTGATCTAAATTAAGTTCAAATAATTTGTTAAATTGAAATCTTTGTAAATGTTTTGTAAACAAAACGTTTACAAACAAACTTTACAATCCTTTAGAATTTCTTTTTAATAAATAAAGGTAACTCACAGTTAACACATTATGAATAACTTGAACCAATAAAAAACACAATTCTTAGACGGTGCTTAAAACTTTTAAATTTTAGCACCAACCATCAATTGTATAATTTAAATAAAAGAAGGCTGAATGCTTAAAATTTATATATAACTGACAGTTATTTTATTAATATATAAACAATATATATATCTATATAAAATATATATATATATATATATATACTTATATATATATATATATATATATATATATATATATATATATATATATATATATATATATATATATATATATGTTTACATAACAGGAGCAAACATAACAGGAGCATTATCACAAAATTATTCAACCAGTTTGTAATTCACTAAGCCAAGCATATGTTTTTCCAATGTTATAAAAAGCGAAAACAAATTATTATTTACTTTTTGAAAAGTCATAAATCTGCAAATAAAGCAACAAACTATCTTCACTGAAGATAATTGTCGCTTAATTGCATAATAGCACAAAGTAAAGAAAGCATTATAAACGGTTAATAGCTTTCTAAATGGGTTCCCATTTCGAGCTATTGATGTTATTTTTAAACAGAAATTTTGCTTACAATAAATGCAGGTTTTCTTTATATAAAGAAAACCTACTTTATGAAATGCCTACTTTAAGCATGATTTAACATCGTTAGTTAAAGTAATTAAAAATACACACCTCGTACCGAGAGTAGATAAGGCAAAACTTATTTCGCCTAATGCATGAAAAAGCCAATACGCTTTATCATAGTTTGTAACACTCCCGCGCTTGTCATAGTTAAGTCAGCAACGCCGAAACCGTAAATAATAATTAATGTACGATAGAATTTTAAAATGTAAAGTAAATTACATAATCTTGATAATAATATAAAATTTTTCCTTAAGCGGCAGCCCCAGCACACATAGAACATAGAAGTGAATGGGTGTAAACAATTACACCCATTCTTGCATTTAAAAATGCGTGGGCGCAAACTGTTTTACATTAGGTGTTTTCATTGATCTGTCAAAAGCTTTGAAAACCTTCAAACATTCCATTATAATTTAAAAAAAGGAGCATCACGGAAAAAAGGATTCAAATTTACACCGGTTTGAAAACTACTTGTTGAACAGAAAACAATACCTTCAATGTGAAGAAGATACGTACAATGTGAAGAAATAGATGCAACCAAATATCCTAAAACTTGTGGAGTTCCACAGGGTTCTATATAAAGGTCTACCTTTACTTTTCTTATAAAGTAATGGTTTATCTTCACATCAAACTTATTAAGTTTTTTTTATTTGCAGATGACTACAATCTTTTTTATTCTCATAAAATATTGAAACACTTTTTAAAGTGACTACTGAGGAGCTAACTAGAGTAAATTAATGATTTATATGCAACAAAGTGTCTTTAAATGTTCAAAAAACAAAATTTTCTTTTTTCCACAAACCAAGCAAATCAAAAGAAATACCTCTTGTTCTACCTAATCTACAAATTAATTAAACTGACATTAAAAAGCTACTTCCGTTAATTTTTAAGTGAATTTTGATGAAAATATCAGGGAAATAACATAAACTACATAGAAAAAAAATCTCAAAAAAAATAGGCATAATCTATAGAGCATAGCCATTTTAAAATTTTAGTTCGTTAAAAAATTTATATATTTTTTTTATACAAATTTATTTAAACACACGGCAATAATGTATTATTATATCGAATATTTCACTTTATCAGTTTAAAATTAAATCAAATTGGTGCTTATTACACACAGATTTTTAATTCTCTTGTTTTAAGTGTTTCTTTTAAAATTGATCAATAAAATAAAATCATCTAAAACACTATCAACTCAAAAACAATATAATTAATTTAAGTCTTAAAATTAATTACATTCAAAGTCTGATCAAAAAGCATAACTTGGACGCAATCAAATGTGCTTCATTAATCAAATGTGCTTCATTAATCAAATGTGCTTCATTAATCAAATGTGCTTCATTAATCAAATGTGCTTCATTAATCAAATGTGCTTCATTAATCAAATGTGCTTCATTAATCAAATGTGCTTCATTAATCAAATGTGCTTCATTAATCAAATGTGCTTCATTAATTAATTTTTTTGCATTAATGAAAAACCTTCATAAGTTTTATCTCATCATCTAAAGAAATATTTTTTAATTAAAGTGAGACACTGACATATTTATTGGTTAAAGAGATTTGAAACAAAAGGTTGTCATAATGATAAACAAAAGGTTATCATAGTAATGAACTAATAATCAAGGTTGTCATAATGATAAGCTCAAATGACTGAATTCATTTTTCTTGCGATTTTACTTCATTCAATAGTTCGTCAGTTGGGTCAAGATCACGAAGCTTCTGCAAATCATGAGGTCATCCATCGGTCGCTTAACCAACAGCTTCACAACCTCAATGTGTGAACTCCATTGCGTTTGCGAGCTTTGATAAAGAGACATACCTGTTTTCGAATGGAACAGTAAATGACCGAGTGAGCCTCTTTAATGATGTTACCGTGGACAATTCCTCCGCACTCTTTGATAAATTTATTTGCGAACAACTTAAATAATGAATATTATATTTATTTTATTTTTTTGTTGAAAAAAATTCTTCAAAGTGTAAATAAAAGCTATTGTTTTGCTTTGTTTTTAAGTTTATTGATTTGTACATAGTTAAGAAACTATAACAAACCAATTATTTTTTTGATACTCTATTATTAATAAAAAAAAAGCTCAATATTAATACATAAGTTTATAGAATTGTATATTTTATACTATTATAATTTTTATCAAAAACAACCGTTTTTTAACATTTCCCTTTGAAAAATGTTATCTAATATGGTAAAAAACCTATCACGCGTTGGTAAAACAGTTTCTTTCATTTCACCTATGTCAAAAAGAGTATCTGATGCGCTTTTGAGAATTTGTGTATAATAATGTTTATTTTGATAAAAATATTATTTTTACATCATATTTTTCCAAACTTTTCTTTTGAGGATTGAGCAATATTTGATATTAGTCTTAAAGATATGTGTTATCAGTGTTATCTTATCAAGTGAAAACCATTTTTCATATCAGCATAATAAGCAAGCTATGAAACTGAATTCTTTTTAAATACTCTATTCTGAGGCAGAACTCAGAATGTAAGTACAAAGAATGCCCCCACAGTATGCAAACATGCAACAAAATCATCAAATATTCTGAAAATTGTCAAGAAAATGTACCATGAAAGGTGTACCTCCAACAATTTTTGTGACTTACAATGGGGGCAAAACCGTTTTTTTACTAAGTGTACTTTTTGTGTAATTAAATTTTCTAAAACCCTTATAGTTTTTTCCTATTTGCAACAATTTAAAGCTTAATAATGTGGTTATTTAAATAAACTTTTGAAAAATACATTTCGTTTTTATTTTCATATAACATCAATCCAAACGTTACGGGGGCGGTTATGCCCCCGTTTCTCTTATATATAAGTATTGAACTCAAATGTAAGAAGTTTATATAGCTATTATGATATTTAGCAAACCCAAAAAAAAATCTTAGAATTCCAAGTGTGGGGAATTATTAAACGTTTTCCAGTGACACTAATGAATTCACTTGTTTGTTTATAGTTGTTTTATTTACATATGACTGCGAATCTATTATTTACAAATATCATCCATATTTTATATAAAATTCAAAACCACAAAATATTATATTATTATCTTAAAAATTACGTTGGCGTAATTTCCCAGTATCTTTAAGAAGACCGCATCATTACAAATATATTAATGTTTATATTAAGATACAACCGCTAATTTTTGCTACTTATCTTGGAAGACGTAATCCACAACACACTCCCCCGATTAAAGCTGAGACTTCGGCTTTAATCAGCCATCTCGTCTTCCATGATGCAACTGATTTTTTGTCTTGCATCTAATTTCGCCCGTCTCGGTACTCTTTTTAGGGTTTCCACTTTTTTACCAATTTCCACGTTCTTTTTAGATTCAATCATACTCTCTGCCTTAAAATCGATTTCCAGGTCACACACCAGTTGAGTTGGTCGTTGAATAACCGTTCCCCAATCGTATTTTTAAACCACGCGTATTTCTATCTTTTCCTTTGATTTCACTTTTAACTCGTCCAATATTAAGAAGTGCTTTGTTTTTTACATCCTCTTTAATAAGTACCACGCTTCCAACAACTGGCAGTTTTATGTTACTTCCCTTATTCCTTACTTTCTGTCGTTCTTACATTGCATGTACATATTCGTTCATCCATCTTTTTCTCAGATGGATTTTACAGTTTTTTATAAACTTGGCTCTCCGTATTGCATATTCCTCTTTTGCAATTAAAGCAATATCTTCTTTATTGCAGGTTTTCCCTCATTAATACGTTTGGTGTCAGTACTTGATTGTCGAACTGGTCACCTTGGTAACAAAGTGGTCTATTGTTCATTGAGCGCTCAACATCCAACTATACTTCCTCTAATTCATTGAAAGTAAGCACTTTACCGATAGTTTTAGATAAGCTTTTCTTCATTATTCCAATCAATCTTTCAAACAAACCTCCCCACCAAGGGGCTCTTGATAGATTAAACCTCCATTTAATAGCTTGTATAGCAAGATAGTTGGCAATATTCTCGTCGTTTTTAAGTGTAAGTAACCAATTCCCTGTTGCCACAAATGTTTTCGCATTGTCACTGATTATCATCTGAGGTGTTCTTTTCCTCGCAACAAATTCTTTTAAAACCCCCTGAAATTTTACTGCTGATAGGTCATGACAAAGTTTAAGATAGACGGCTTTAGTGCTTGCGCATGTAAAAAGTGCAACGTAACATTTTTTAATCAACGTAAAATTTTTTGGTACTTTATACTTTAACGGTCCGGCAAAATCAACACCACTAACTGCAAATGGTTCAACATTGTCAGTTCTAAAGTGCGATAACATTGCTTTTGTTGGTGGTAACAGAGGCTTCACTCTGTAGCTTTTACACAAATTGCAACTACGAATAACTTTTTTAACGGCCGCTCTCAAATTCGGTATCCAGAATCTTTCTTACGCTACCCATGGTATCTCCGACTCCTCCGTGTAAGGTTTTGGTGTGATGGTGCCCAATAATTCGTAGAGTTAGTAAGAACACTTTTGTATAAATATGGTATAAATATTGGGCTATACCCAGTAACTCTTCCATGACACCTCGAAAGATTCTTTTCATCCTGTTTAAGTTCCACTTCGGCTTTTAGCACAACAGATCCTTGTAGATGTTTAATATTGACCGTTTCGGCTTTCATCTTTTCCGCTTTTATTGGTCCGACTATTTTTTCTTTATTACAACAATTGTAAATCAACCTTTTTATAAACGACGATATCCTTAAAATCTTCCAATAATTATATTTATTCCACAATTCTTCAAAAGTGCGATTTTCCTTTATTTCTTCTGTTACCATCCAGACGTTCTCCTTTAGAGCAATACTTTCACATAATGTGCCATATGAGTTATCAAATATTTCCGATTGGTTTGGCCAATTTTCTTTATAACTCAATCATATGGAACCATTGAACCACAAGCTTGACAACTTTTCCGGACTCACTCCTCTTGTTCCAAGATCGCTAGGGTTTTCTTTTGTTGGGACATAAAGCCATTTTACTTCTCTATTTAATAAGATTTGCTGAACTCGGTTTCTTACAAATTGTGACCAACTGCCTCTTTCCTTCAGCCAATAAAGTACAGCAGTGCTGTCAACACAATTAAAAACTTTACTAATGTTAAAATTGATCAATGTTTTCCTGACATGGTTCATCAACTTGCTTAAGGTATGTGCAGCTACTAGCTCGAGTCTTGGAATACTTAGATCCTTTGGTGCAATCCGTGCTTTTGCTACAAGTAAGTTGCTTGTTTTCGAATTTTAGTGGCTTGTTACAACATAGATGCATGCGCATACCGCTAATTTACTTGCATCTGAGAATCCGTGAAGCTCTAGTTCAATAATTCTTCCGGACACAACACACCGAGGAATCAATATAGTTCTTTTGTTGCTTATTGTCTTAATCCAAGTTTGCCATTCTTCCAAAAGTTCCTTCGGTAGTTGATGATCCCATCCAATTTTTGATAAGCATAGTCGACTATACAGTATTTTTCCAGTGATTAACACAGGTGCACTAAATCCTAATACGTCAAAAACACTGTTGATTGCAGATAGAATTTTTCTTTTAGTTAAATTTTCTTTATTTCCGTTATTGGTGCAACTAGTGAATTCAATTGACAATTGATCTGTTTCCTTGTTCCAAGGATGTCCAAGTATTTTTGTTGATTTGTCTTCAACATTATTTTCCAATTCTCTCACGTTGCTATACCATTTGTGCAACTGAAAACCAGCTTCGTTCAAGATTTGTGTTGATTCATATTTAAACCTAATAAGTTCTTCTTCCGTTTCTCCACCCGCTTGCAGATCATCGGCTTAAATATCTTTTTCCAAAGCAACTACTGTCTTTGGATAAATATCCTTGTATTTTGATATATGTTTTTTAATCGTAGCGCCGAGAATGTAAGGACTTGAACTGGAACCAAGAATTACTCTTGTAAATCGTAAATCCATTAATTTCATTTTCTTTAAGTCTTCATACCATGTGCGTCTCTATTCATATCTTGAATTCGGATTTGTAAAAATGCTTTCTTAATGTCAGCTAAAACGCAGAGTTTGTTCATCCGATTTCGTATTAGAATGTCAAATATTAGAGGTTGCAGCGAAGGTCCCACTTCTAGACAATCATTCAATGAAGGTGATTGAGCATCTTTTCTTGCTGAACAATCATAAACAACTCGCATTTTTGTTGACTCAGCATTTTCCTTGATTACAGCTTGATGAGGAATGCAATGAACAATTTCTCCCATAGGTTTTTCTGGCACTTTTTCCAGTATTCCCCCACTGATCTGTTCCATCATTATTTCATTATACTGCTCTAGTTTGTTAAGTTTTTCCAATCGATTTGTTGTACTTTTTATTCTTTTAATTGCCAGATCTCTGTTATTTGGCAGTTTGACAACATCTTTTTTCCAGGGCATTCTAGTTTCATTATAACCTTCGTTTGTTTGGTGCAGCTTTTCGCTAAAGTCTTGGTAGAACATTGAATCATTGTTTGTGTCTGACAATCCAAGAACTTCAAGACTACACATTTGCTCGAACTCATCACAACCAGTGTTTAATAAAAAACCCTTTTCAACACCAGAGCTTAATTCCATTTGTTTCCCAGAGAGAATCCATCCAAACATAGTCAATTCAGCTCCGGGATCTTTATCCGGATTTTTTTCGAGAACCATCGGCTCGGTAGTTTTTATTCGTTGATAATCAGCAGCACCAAGTATTATGTGAACAGGTAGTATTTCATCGTCTTCTCCATCATTACTAAATTTCAGTCTCCTAAGTCTAGCAAATTGCTTTTTTAAAAAGGTCAGTATTTCCTTTTCTGCGTTGATGCATTCAATCTTGATGTGAAATTCCGGTATTGTTATTGATTCTAGCGTAACATTATATATTTCCACACGTTTGTTTACCTTTCCATATAATTGTTCGATGGTTTTTTGTTCCCTTCGTGTAGGTTTCAACTTCAGTTTTGTTATCAAGTTTGTACATATATAAGAACTTCCAGCACCCGTATCCATCAAAATCCTTGCTTTTTCACCATTTACCTTTGCCATTACTGTCGGGTGAATAGTAGTACTTGTATTAAACACCGTTCCCATGGTTTCTTTTTTATCGTCTATTGTTGCATTTACATTTTGACAAATTGACGTGTGATGTTTTTTGTTACACTTTCTGCATCCTCTTGATTGACAATTTGCCGCGGAATGTCCATAACCAATGCAGTTGTAACATAATCTTTTGTTTTTTAAAATCTCCTTGCGTCTAGCAACGTTTAACACTTTTATACAACTTTCGCTTTTGTGATTTCGCAACCCACAGTAGATACATTCATTTTTACCAACACTTGTCATCATTGATTTATCATAATTACCACTATTATGTTGCTTGAATGCACTGATTCGGTTTACATAAGACCTTGACTGTACGTTTGGGTTCTTTTTATCGTATTTTATTTGTTCAGTGTTGAAATCGGAGTTCAATGGATTTCTTTCTATGTATTTTTGTAACTTTTCGACGAGTTGCTCCAGTCCCCATTCTTCCCATCCATCATCGTTTTGTGTGAGTATTTCAAGAACCGGTCCAAGTTTATCCATTAATGAATACACAAATGATTGAGAAGTTTGTAGTTTGTGCATCGTTTTTAATGTTCGCACTGTTCTTGCAAGTTTATTATAAAAATCGTGAACTTCTTTAATTTTGTGCGTATTGTGTATAGCCATCATTCCTTCAAGATCTTTAACCAATGCTTTGTGAATCCAAATATCTTTTCCATAAGTGTCTTGTAATATACGCTTGGCTTCTTCGTATCCTTCCAACAAGCGTGGTAAACCAAGTATGTCCTCTCTGGGTTTTCCTTCGACGAGTTCCATTAAGTAATTGAATTTGCTAATGTTTGATATGTTAGAGTTATCGACTTCCACCGTGAATTGATTCCAAAAATGTAACCAGTCTTTATAATTGCCATCAAATTTTGTAATAGTATACTTTTGCAGCTTGACGTTATTGTTTCCAACAGATTTACGCAATGTTTCTTTTGTTTTAAACTTCCTTAGATACCATTCTTCTTCGTTTTGAAGTTTCCGCAATGAAGTTGTTCCGCTTCTTTTTGGATTGTTAACTGGTGTTCCATAAATTGTTTTTCATACTCTAATCTCTTGACGCATTCGTTTTTATTTATTAGATCCAACTTATTTACCATTTCGTTTTTAATTGCATTCGCTGCTTCAACTTTTGCTAATGGTTTTGATAACCATTCTTCAACCGTATCAATGCTTTCGCCGTCATCCAGCATTTTTATGGTCAGCTCATCTTTTGCCATTTCAAATCTTGCCAGCAAATTTGTTATTTTCTCTAAAGCCAAGATTATGCTCGATTTGTCGCTGCTTGCGGTGTTGCGTTCTATGTATTTAATGTTTATATTCAACATGTTGATCTCCCTCTGATAATTTCGCTCTTGATCCATTTTGATTATTTGTAGGTCCCTTTGGTCCTGGCAGGGTCGCCACCTTTTAGTGTGGGGAATTATTAAACGTCTCCCAGTGACACTAATGTATTCACTTTTTTGTTTATAGTTTTTGGTATTGTGGTTTATCCTCCTCCGGCTAATTGCCATATAGAGGCCACATTACCAAGGCCCGCAAAGACAGGTTCGGCTCTCCAAGGAGCGTTATAACCCGCTCTACGGACCAAGAGTAAAGTGAGTTTAGGAAGAACGAAGATATGTTAGAGTGCAAGACAGAATGAGTCGTGTTAGAAAGATAGCATAAAGAAAGCGGACAAGATTGCACTCGATGTTAGGAGGTGCAATAGGTTTGTTTATAGTTGTTTGGTATTGTCATCATTTTATTCATCGGACAAGTTACAATTTTCTTTTCTTGAAGCCGGAACAATCAAATTCAAAACCTCTACTGGTAATTTGCTTCTTTTTGCAGGCAGTTCTCTAAGTGAATTGATAACAGGGTCAGATGTTATTAAGAACATATTCAGCAAACCTATATTTGTAGAAATACGTGACTTTTTCCTAGTGTGATGTTCTCGAAATCTCCTACAATCTTTATTTCGTGCTTCCAGAGATTCTTCTGAGAGCTGGCTAATCGGAAGAATACACCACTTCCGTGCTGAGCAATAAAAATTTATGCACTGTAACAGTTATGTAATACCACGAATATAAATATAAATATAAAGTCCACGTTTCAGAACAAAGTTTTTCAAATTTGACACAATCAATGTCATGGCCAGAAGATAGCGTTCTTAACAAAACACAAAAATTTTTAATTAATTCAAAGTCTAATTCTGTAATCTCTCCACTCTTTTCTGGGTTTAAAAAAAAACCTGCGAGCTGTGTTGCCATCATTTGTATAGTCATAATGAGGCTTCGGTCAATCCACAAGAAGTCCCATTTGTTTTCGAAACTTTTGCCTAATCTCTTTTGAACAATTTCTGATACGACATTTATCCTCTTTGTCTCTAACTTGCCACTTTTTAATGTCTAAACGGTAGCTAATATGTAGCAGACAAAAGTACGTACTCAAGCATGCAAAGTAGAAAAACCGAAAGTTGTAATTTTCTTTTTTATTAATTATACCTTTTAATTCACCATTCATCATTTTTAAAGTAGCACCGGAAATATAACATTTTTGTGTAGAGCGCGTATCAGTTAAAGCATTGCATACTTTTCCGCCTGTCATTGTAAGTAACAGATATTACAATGTTGGAAGAAGTTCAGATATTTCTTTTAAAACTTTGTCAGTTTCTATTACAGTAAATTCCTGTGTTTCTTTTGAAAATATGAATTTAATTGGTCGGCAATAAAGTGTTGACGATGGCCGATGATTTTGCCAAATAATAGTATTAGAGTCATCACTCAATCTCAACGGAACAAACACAAACACAAACAGAAATCAACATTAGGATCGGAGTTCTCAAATCTTTGTTTATAGGTATTGTGGCCAGAACTTCCGTCACATCCCTATATGCTTATTAATGTAAGCGACAAGTTAGAGGATGCATTTTTGGGAAATTGACTTAGTGTTTCAATTAAACGGTCAGTTGTTTTGTTGAATATGGCTTAAATTTTAATTTCAGCTAGTGTTTTTGAGATAGAAATAAATACTTCTGGGAGGTAACACAACCTTTTGGATTTACATAAATTAAAGTAAGACGGAAACACTTCATGCCCTGCTTTTATTGACCATTTTCTTGTTTGTTTATAAGAGTGACTAGTACACTTGGAATCTACATAATAAGCAAGTGCCTCATCGCTACTCAACTGTCTGATACCACAAATAACATCTGTAGATTTTCTTTGCTATAAGGTTTCTGTACTTTTTCTAATAGAAGTAGCTACGTTTCTTTGACCCGACGAACGATGTGCTATTTCAGCAGCTGTTGTTAATTCATTGGCACTCCACGTTTGCCATAAGTCTTTAACTCCGTCTTTTGGTTTTTAAAGATGAGTCTTTTTCTTTGACCGACCTTGAGACCAACTTTTTTCAGATGTATAAGTTGTAGAAGTACAGGACCAATAAAAATTTATTTTAAATTCTAAATTATTGTCCTCTAACCAACTTTTATTTTTATTTAAAAAATGATCCATATTTCTATTGGCTGCATTCCACTTTTGCGCAAATTTAGCGGATATGCTTGCCATTTTTAACTGTATTTTTTTTTTCGAATCACTAGTAACATCTTCTGTAGTATAGTCTTTCAAAATAAATTCACACAAAAGAGAATTTCGTTCTTCCTTTGCATGTTTTTGCCATTCTTCAAAAAACTCCAATTTTGTAATAGAATACACTCGGTCTGAAAAAAATTAAATAAAAATGAAACGAGCAGACACGGGCAGCCAAATTTTTATATTTAGGCGCCTTATTGCTGTGGTTATAATATACAAAAAAATCGCCTGGATATATTTGGATAAAATTAGTTATACGCTTTGAAAATTAAAAAACGAAAAAAGAAATTGCAGTTTTAAAATAGTTTTTTTTAAAGCTACAGAATATCATCTATGACAATTATTTTAAATAAGTTTTCAATAAAATACAAACTACATACCCTCTAATGTAAAATTCATCACAGCAGAGTTAGTTATTATTTACAATAAATTAGTTATACGTTATTGTCACACAGCAAAGTTACAGCTAATTTTTTTACAAAAATATGTTTATCTTTGAGTGACATTTAAGCGCTAATGATTTAACACTTAAAAACGCGTATACTAATTAATATTTTGAATTTTTCTCTTTGGAGTATTCAGTAATATTATGGAAGTATCTACTAATTGATTCCTTGAATTGACTTTTGTCCTGCTAGATTGTATGAGCCGATTCACTGTACCAAGGAGCGTCATAACCCGCTCTACGGACCAAGCGTAAAGTGAGTTTAGGAAGAACGAAGATATGTTAGAGTGAAAGACAGAAGTAGTCGTGTTAGAAAGACAGCATAGAGAAAGCGGACAGGATCGCACTCGATGTTAGGAGGTGCAATAGGTTTGTTTATAGTTGTTTGGTATTGTGGTTTATCCTCTTCCGGCTACTTGCCATATAGAGGCCACATTACCAAGGTACCGCAAAGACAGGTTCGGCTCCCCAAGGAGCGTTATAACCCGCTCTACGGACCGAGAGTAAAGTGAGTTTCGGAAGAACGAAGAAATGTTAGAGTGAAAGACAGAAGTAGTCGTGTTAGAAAGACAGCATAGAGAAAGCGGACAGGATTGCACTCAATGTTAGGAGGTGCAATAGGTTTGTTTATAGTTGTTTTATTTACATATGACTGTTTACAAATATCATCCATTTTTTATATAAAATTCAAAACCACAAAATATTATATTATTATCTTAAAAATTACGTTAGCGTAATTTCCCAGTATCTTTAAAAAGACCGCATCATTACAAATATATTAATGTTTATATTAAGATACAACCGCTAATTTTTGCTACTTATCTTAGAAGACGTAATCCACAACACAAGTATTGAATGTAGTTTAATCACATAATTACTATTATCTTTAATCACATAAATACTATTTTAGTACACACACACACACACAGACATCATAGAGCACCACAGAAGGACATTTAATAGGAAGTTCACGCCTCCTTTCTTACCGATGTCGCAAAACTTACCCAGAGGTGGGGTTTGAACCACAGATCTTACGTTTCTGAGGCAAGTGCGCTAACACTGAGCCTCGGCTGCCTAAAAGTTTTAACAGTTTTAAAAGAAATAATTCAAACAAAGAGACAACTTAAATAGAAAAATTATTTTCCGGTGACTTATACATAAATTTTATTAAAGTTTGTTCTTTGTGTTCGATAGTTCAGTTTATCTATTTTTTTAAAGTTGCTTAACTTAACTTAACTTAACTTACTAAACAAGGTGATTACATTAGTTAGGTTTTAAAGAAAACAGTAAAATTTATGAAAAAACGGCTAATTAACAATAACTATTATTTTTTAGACTTAGGAAAAATAAATATTGTTATTTTCTTACTTTTTTGGTCCAAAACTAATATTCAACTACTTTTTGTTGCGCAATAGTTTAACATTTTATTTGTTATGGAATTTATTTGATGTTTTGTAAAACAATGCGTAGTTTTTGAAATATTTTCACTAACCAAATAGCAAAATGCTCAATTAGTTCCGCTTTACCCTAGTAATTTTTTTTAATCAATTTTTTTTTTAAGTAATCAACTTTTTTTAATGCTGAAATTCACCAAAATTTTAATATAATAAAGAAATAATCAATAAGCCACCAAAATATTATTGATTACATTAATAATAATCAATTAGTAAAACAAAATCATTTTATCCATTGAGTTTGATATTCACGATTGACTGTGCATTATTAAATTTTTTTATTTTTTTTTTTGTTTTTATTTTATTAATAATCCTTTACGGCTGTCCTGACAAGAAGTCCTTACGGACTAGAGCCGTAAAGAATTATCACAGAGCACAGCGCAAGAGTATTTGAAAAAAAGTTCACGCCTCCTACCTTACCGATGTTATAAAACTCTCCCAGAGCTGGCGTTAAACCATGGATCTTCAGCTTCTGAGACAAGCGCGTTAAGAGGTTAATTAAGGTAAAATTAATTAAGAACTAAATGGAATTCATAAATCAGTAGAAAGGAATGTTATACTATAACTATTTTTGAACCATCTTTTTTGAATGTAAAAAATAACACAAAATAATAGAAAAAGTAGTAAATTGTTTTTGTTGTTTAACTGTTATTGGTCGTAAAAAAAAAGTTATCAACAATTCGTAAACGATGGTAATATTAGTAAACAGAAAAAAGTTTTCAGGTAATTAAACTAAAAAACCACTTATATTGTAATGTTTATGCCAAATGTTGTTGAATTATCTTTTTTAATTGAGCTTTAAGTTTTAAACGGTTGATTTAAAATCGTAAACACTACATTTCAATGTTTACGTTATTTATTTATTTTAATTGTTTTTTATATGTTATTTTTTTAACCTATTTCTATCCATAGGCACTTAAATATACAACTGCATATACAATTTTGTAGATCTGCTTAACCACCCAAACAAGTGAGTTTACACAGCTTTACTTTTGTATAAACAAAGCTATACATATAAATGACTTATAGTGCTTGCCTGATAAATCTATTATTTCAAAAGATTTTTTTGTTAAAATGGCATTTTTATCACTAATTCTTTTTGGGTTTTTTTCATTAGGAGCTTGTTTGGACAATCCGACGGTATAATTTAATTACTTTTGACAAAGCATTTTGTATTAATTATTTCATATAATAAATTTTTTATTTACGATAATTACATAATTCATAAATTTTTTTTTAATTTTTGATTTATTTTTTTATACGTTTTATAGACTTTTTTGAAGCGTTATGGGTACTTACAGTCCGGGTATAACGACAATAACTCCTTCACTTCAGCTATTAAAAAAATGCAGAAATTTGGCAACCTACCAGAAACTGGTGTTCTCGATAAACAAACATTAAAGTTAATGTCGACTCCTCGTTGTGGAGTTTCGGATCATAATTATTTGGGGTACTCTTCAAGTAAATGGTCTAAAAATGTATTAACATACAAAATAATAAATCATACACCAGATTTAGGTCCTGCAGAAACTGCAAGAATTATACAAGAAGCTTTTAATAAATGGTCCCAAGTAACGCCATTAACCTTTACACGAGGTTATGGAGCTACAGATATGACCGTTGAGTAAGTTATCTTATCTTGTTTTTGCTTTATTTTCTTTTAACACTTTATTAAACGCATTTGTGTACAGACAATTTTATTTTATTGGAATTTAGCAATATATTAGCTATAAAAATTTTATTGGATATAAGGGACATAAAGGCGTAGAATTGACCTTATTTTTGGGCATAAGGTTGGTTTCAATTCGCAACAATTACTAATTTAATTCATTAAAGTTTGTTAAATTAAACTAAAGCGCCTTTCTCATTTTAAAAAAGTAAATTTTTTTTTATTATAATAATTTTTTTTTTAATTATAAACAAAAATAAATTTTCGGCAAATTAAGAAGAAACAAATTAAATGGCAAGAAAAAAACAATGTTAATATAATATTAGCTAGAATTAAAAGGTATTTTATAAATTTAGCAAACAAATTTTTTATTTTTTCTATAGTTTCGGAAACCTCCGTCATTCCTCGTGTGGCTACGATTTTGATGGGCCTGGCGGTGTTTTGGCACATGCTTTTTTTCCTACAGATGGCAGAACACATTTTGATGAAGACGAGCATTTTACTGATAAAAATACTGCTGGAACTAATCTGCTCTGGGTTGCTGCTCATGAATTTGGTCATGCACTTGGACTTGAGCATTCTACAGTTCAAGGATCTCTTATGTATCCTTATTATCAGGGATATAAAGAACCATTTGTGCTTCATCAAAATGATATCTCACGCATTCAGCAATTGTATGGCGGTACGTTAAAGTTGTAGTTTGTGTGTGGGTGTATATGTATATGTACAATTCTATTCAGTTTTTGAGTGTGTGTAAATGTGTGTATTCTGAAATATATATGTATATATATATATATATATATATATATATATATATATATATATATATACTATATATATATATATATATATATATATATATATATATATATATATATATATATATATATATATATATATATATATATATATATATATATATATATATATATATATATATATATATTAAACTTAACAAAATAAAGTTTTGTATGATTAGGTAGTGGAGGAGCAACGGTGCCACCAACCCCCATTACAACACTTTCGCCAGGTTTGCCTTAATTTCTAACAAACGAGCAGAGTGAAAATAAAATATATAACATTTTATTTTCACTCTGAGACGTTTTGTCTCAATTTTAAGTAAATGAGTTTTTGTAAAAAAGTTTTTTCTTAGCTTTTGTATAACGAATAATTGCTGTATTTTTTTTATTTAAGGAGCGTGTACTAACTTCTACGGAGACAGTCATTGTGATAGTATAAAATACGGATGTGCTTGGGATCATTGGAAAGATTATATGCGAACTAACTGTTACAAGACATGTTTTTGTAAAGTTTAATCTTTTTACAACTTTTGATAAAAAGTTAGAAAAACTCAAAGTATCATTTTTATTTTCTTTATTTACTTAAAGTTTTGATATTTAATTGCAATTGCAATATAAAAGTACCCGACGGGCATTTGTTTTTAAAAGTTACGATCTAAATGTCTTTTAAACGTCTTTTAAACATTAATGTTTAAAAGACGTTTAAAACACATTTAGAACATAACTTTTAAAAACAAATGCCCGTCAGGTAGATTGTTTCCCAGGTTGTTAAGGTGCTCCAATAGGTCCTAACGGTTTTTCATAGAGCACCACAATAGAGCATACAACAAGTAAATCTGGTCACTTTATTTACCAACGTTGCTTGTATGGCCAGAAAACATAGGCATTCTCAACCTTGAGCTTCTTATTTCTGAGGTCAGCGCTTTAACTAACAAACCACGGCTAATTATATAGTTTTACAAATATTTTCATAAAATATACTAAAAACTTTATTATTTAAAATTAAATTTAGTATGAAGATTTTATAAAAATTTCACTCTCGTATACCTCTATATCATATAAGCAGACAGGAGCTCAAAGAATTCAAGGTTCTTCATACCATTGTAACTTTTTATATATCTCCTAAATTCAAAATAATTCCTAAATATAATAGTAGGATAGAGTGGGGCTAGTTGAGCATATGGGCAAGTTTGGCAACTAAAATATCTCAAAAACTACTCATCCTATGGCAAAACATTTAATGGATAAAAGATAGGTATTTAGAATGGTAACAAAATGCGCATCAAATAGTTAGCGGACCGCGGTTCAGTAACATGCACAGACACTTTTTCGATTTCGGACCAAAAAAGTAAAAAAAAATATTTTTGCTATTTTTCTCTTAGATGCTTAAAAAAACATTTATCTGGAATCATTTAAGTGTTTATATTCTACTTATTTATTTGGCTATTGATTATACTTATCCTTTTTCCCCCGAGCCTTATAGTTCTTTTTATAATCTAACTGATGTGTCGTCTTCTCTAGTAGGGGTAAGTTAAGCAGATTTGACAACGATTAATAAAACGGCTTTTTCAGACGCGAAGATAAATTTCGTTTGGTGAATATTTTAAGGTCTATTCACACTTTTAAATTAATCATTATAAAATGCTCATAACAATTATAAGGTAATATCTTAAATCTTTTTTTTTTATTATGTAATTATAATTTAAAATTATTTGATTTTTTATTATTTTTAAAATATTTTACTTCAATATTACGTGGTCAATAAAATCTTTAAGTTGAAAAGTTCTTGAATAATTTTTTTAAATTAATCTTGTTTACTATGTTTATTAATAATAAACATAGTAAATATTACGTGGTTTATTAAGAATAAACATAATAAATATTACTTATACATTACTAATAAAATCTTTAAGTTGAAAAGTTCTTGAATAATTTTTTTAAATTATTCTTGTTTATTAATTTATGTTTATTAATTTATTATGTTTATTAATAATAAACATAGTAAACAAGATTAATTTAAAAAAATTATTCAAAAACTTTTCAACTTAAAGGTTTTATTGACCACGTAATATTTATTATGTTTATTATTAATAAACCACGTAATATTTACTATGTTTATTATTAATAAACATAATAAACAAGATTAATTTTAAAAAATTTTTTGAGAACTTTTTAACTTAAATATTTTATTGACCACATAATATTGAATTAAAAATATCTTAAATAAATAATCTATATAAATTATTTATATATTGTATAAATAATCAATATGTTTATATAATATAAATTATAAGTTATAATTTAACTTATATGTTTTTTAAATATACACACTATCATATTATTATTAATATTAACATATAACTTATAATTTATATTATAATATAATATATATAAACTATATTATGTCTATATTATAATATATTTTATATAAACATATTGATCATTTATACAATATATAAATAATTTATATAGATTATTTATTTAAGATATTTTTAATTCAATATTATGTGGTCAATAAAATCTTTAAGTTGAAAAGTTCTCGAATAATTTTTTAAAATTAATCTTGTTTATTATGTTTATTAATAATAAACAAAGTAAATATTACGTGGTTTATTAATAATAAACATAATAAATATTACGTGGTCAATAAAATCTTCAAGTTGAAAAGTTTTTGAATAATTTTTTTAAATTAATCTTGTTTACTATGTTTATTATTAATAAACATAGTAAACAAGAATAATTTAAAAAAATTATGTATATATATGTATATATATATATATATATATATATATATATATATATATGTATATATATATACTTATATATATATATATACATATATATATATATATATATATATATATATATATATATTATATATATACATATACATATATATATATATATATATATATATATATATATATATATATATATATATATATATATATATATATATATACTTATATATATATATATATACATATATATATACATATACATATATATATATATACATATATATATATAAATATATATATATATATATATATATATATATATATATATATATATATATATATATATATATATATATATATATAAATATATATATATATATATATATATATATATATATATATATATATATATATATATATATATATATATATATATATATATATATATATATATATATTATAGGATGCGTAATTATAAAAGAAAAAAAAGAAAAACTTCAAATGGTGCCTTCAGCTTTTTTTTTTTTTTTTTCAAGCCAACAGCTTAGTGATACAGCAAGTTCTGTTTTGGAGGGAAAAAAAAGTGTTAGTGCAGCTGCTAAAGAATTCGACATCAAGAGAATGACATTAACAAGATATATTTTAAAATTAAACTCTGGTGGTTACCCATCCATGGGTTATTCAAAACCTAGATTAATTTTTTCCCAAGAGCAAGAAAGCGCCTTAAAAAATCATATATTGCAAATGGCATCGATATATTACACGGCTATACTCCTAAAGATGTTCAATCTCTTGCTTATGAGTGTGCTCTTCAATACAAAATTAAAATACCAGATTCTTGGACAGTAAATAAGATGGCTGGTAAAGAGTGGATGACTAGTTTTTTAAAAAGAAATCCTCAATTATCTATAAGGAAACCTGAAGCAACTAGCCTTGGTAGGGCAACATCATTTAACGCTGCAAATGTAAAAGTATTTTTTGATAAGCTAGGTGAAGTTATGGATGTATACAAACTCAATGCTTCACAAATATGGAACGTTGACGAAACTAGTGTATCTACAGTTGTAAAACCTAGTAAAATTGTGGCTGCAAAAGGCAAGAGAAATGTTGGTGCTATAACATCTGGGGATAGAGGCACTAATGTCACAATGGTAACCGCTGTATCTGCCTTCGGAAATACAGTACCTCCAATGTTTGTGTTCCCTCGCAAAAATTACAAAGATTATTTTGTTAATAATGGTCCACCGGACTGTATTGGGGTAGGTAATGGAAGAGGTTGGGTTACAGATATTAAATTCAAAAATTTTATGCAAAATTTGATTAGGCATGTGAGGCCTTCAAATGAATGTAAAATTCTGTTAATTTTGGACAATCATTCTTCTCAATTGCATTTTGAAACACTAAACTTAGCAAAGGAGGATGGAATAGTCATGTTGTCTTTCCCATCACAATACAGCCATAAGCTGCAGCCACTAGATGTATCAGTGTTTGGACCTTTTAAAAAGTATCTATCAGTTGCACAAGATGCATGGCTGAGAAACAATCCTGGAAAAGCCATAACAATTTATGATACACCAAAAATTGTATCTGACTCATTGCCATTAGCTATAACGTGTACTAACATTACAAAGGGTTTTCAAAAAACTGGTGTATACCCGTACAGTGCAAACATTTTTGCTGATGATGATTTTTTACCATCATTTGTCACAGATCGTATAGAACCAGCAAATCTTGTTTCTGAGCTATCACACGTAGCTCATTCTGAAGTATGTTTAATATCATCTTAAGGTCAATCTGTCGTAGTATTAATAAATTAGTATTAATAAAGAGACAATGTTACTTATTCCTGAAACTCCTAAAGCATTTTCTTTAGAAACTGTGCGACCTTACCCAAAAGCAGCACCAAGAAAGAATACATTTGACAAGACGAAGAAAAAAGGAAATCTGCTAACAGATACTCCAGAAAGAATTATTAAAACCACAGCAAACTAAGAAAACTAAAAAAGTTGAGAAACTTTTTTAGTTTTCTTAGTTTATCTGAAAAAATTATCTGTCAATTCCTTTCAAATATCAATAAATAGTGTGGTAATAAAGAGACTCAGTTACATAGTATATTTAAGAAACAAACAAAAAAAAAACTGAGAAGAAAGAAATTTTAAAGAAACCAAAAAAAAGTTCTGCTTGTCAATCCTTTGCAGATCATCGTAATAAGGAGACTCTGCTGCTTAGTATATTAAAAGAAAAGTTAAAAAACAATCAAACAAAAAAACTAAGATGACAAAAAAATTAAAGACAAGTGCAGAACACGATTATGCTTGTCTTGTATGTAGGGAAACTTATTCTGAAAGTCTACCAGTAGAAAATTGGATCCAGTGTCAAGGTTGCAATCAATGGTCTCATTCAAAATGTGATTCACATTCTGGTCAAAATTATATTTGTATTAACTGCAAAATGGAAATTGAAGACTAAAATAAAGTAGTCTAGTTATTATTTTATCATAATATTAACAAGTTTTAAAATGCTTTAAAAAAAGTTGTGTTTAGTTTTAAGATTAAAAAGTTTTGTTTTTGTTTTTATTTTAGTATCAAAATTATTAGTTTTAATGTTCATATCTTAAATAATTTGTTAAAATTGAAAGTATCTATTTAATTTATAAGGAAGTTTTGTTTTGGTTTTATAACAGTGTTAATAGTTGCCACTGAAATGCATTTATTTTTTTATTGCTCAACTTACCCCACGCAATTGCTCAACTTACCCCGCTGGGGTAGGTTGAGCAGCCTAATAAACTTTAGACAATATTTGCTAAAACAAATCGAAAAAAGTTTTT